GCGTGCTGCGGGGCCTGCCCTGCCGGGGCCGGGGCTGGGGGGTAAGGCGGAGCCCGCGCGCCGGGGAGGCCCCTCACAGCCCGCGAGGCTCCAAGCCGGGCATGGTCGCGTCCCGAGGCCTGGGCCCCCCGCCGGGCCCTGCTCCCCCACACCGCCGGTCCTGGGTGTCGGCTGCCTCCTCGCAGCGCCTGGAGACGAAGATTTCAGGCCCAAGGGAAAGCTGAGGCAGCTCTGAGAAATGTCTGCGTGCCTTCAAGGGGGGGGGGACCTCGGGACCAAAAAAATCACACCCCCCAGCAAGTCAGCTTGTGCCCTCCATGCGGCCCCTGGAAAAAAAGAAGTGCCCGGGAAGCCAGTGGTGGCACATGGGCCACCCAAGTCCACAAGCACCAGTTGCGTGGCTTCGTGGAAGAAACTGGGGCGCGAGCGCCTGTTGGGCTTTGACGAAGCGGGAGGGGGGCTGCCGTGGTCCCCTGCCTGGCCTGGGTGAGGATGAGGTACTGCGGTCTTGTGTCGGGGGCGCTGGTGGTAGTCATGTTGGTCTAAGGATGTAGGCAAGGTTGTTTGGGCAAGTGCTGGCAAAAGTGTCATTTTTCTAAATCTTTAGTTGGTCTCACAGACGTCAGGGTTATCCAAAGGACTTTGGTGTCGGTTGTTTTGCTAAGAGGTTAGATTATATTTGTATGGATGGTTTGGATAAGGGATGGCCCTGCCTCTGGTAGGGATTGGCCTAAGTGCCCTCTGGAGGTCCCTTCCCAGTCCTACTTTTCTCCTGTTCTCCAATATCCCATTCGGGTGCAGCTTCCTCCGTGTGGCATTCAAATACCAAACCTGACCTCAGCCTACGCAACTCGGTGTGAAAATACCCGTGTCGGCGTAGGTGGCTTACCTGAGCAGAGCTGAGTTTGGAGTTACCTTTCTGTTGACACGTGGCTGCCCATGAATACAGCGTGAGTGTGCAATTCTTTGCTTGCTACGTAGGATTTACATAACCGAATATGGCAGCTTGTGAGCTGCCTTTGGCATGGCAGAGTAGAGCTGCTACTTTTTCTGCTTCTGCTTCATGTGTTGTTTACACCGTGCTGGTGCCCACAGGCTCCAATAAGGATGCTGTGCCTGTTGTTTTGAGGACTTGGCAGCTACGCAAGAGTATTTAGCTGCAAGTTGCTGTTGTTTATTACTTGTGCATAGGTTTCTATTTATATGTGCTTGTGTCTGTGCAGTGTGTGAGCGGGTGTACTTAATGCTCTTAATATAATGTTACATTTTTTGTGTGTGTGTGTTCGCTTGTATGGCCCCACCCTAAATGGAGGTTAGTATCACTATAGATTTATGTAGCCACTTACCCTAATGGATTCATGGCTTTGGCTGCAGTTGTCAAATGTTTCCAATTCCTATCTGTTCTTGGCATGGTGGAGGGAAGCAGACTAATGTGTCATGATAAGGATGATCATGGTTTTGACAGTGGTTGAATGTCTCCTCCTCTGCCATGAGCTGAATGCAGTGAGACTTGGGGGGGGGAGGGGTGTGTGTGTGTGTGTGTGTGTGTGTGTGTGTGTGTGTGTGCGCGTGCGCGCGCACGACATCAGTAATCTGTCCCAGGATGGTGGGTTAATGAGTTACTAGCAAGTGAGCTGATGGGTACCTGACTCCATTCTTCAGGAGGGTAAGGAG